AACTGTAAGCAAAATAAACCTTTCCTTCCTTAATTTTGGACGTCAGATATTTTGTCCCAGCAATGAGAGAAAAGTAACCAGGACAGTTGGCTGCCGCTGCAGCTGCTTCTTTCTGTCACCCTGGGCAAAAGGAAAACTTCTCAAAAATCAATGCAGTTCAGTAGCTGAACTTATTTTCCCTACCTGTTGCTATGGAAATGTTACTGTCCATTGCCTTTCTTTAAAATCACTTCCATCAAGAAATGTGTGTTTTCTGTAAAGGTTGCTCATGTTAAAAAATAAACTGGCTCTTAAAGTTCTATTTGGAACATTGGCAGTTTTTGTAGTGGCTGAAATACTCATGAAAATGATGTAACACTAATTTCCTTTTTGTAACGTTAGCATCAGAGTTCTAGTGGGCCTTTGCAGTTCAGCCAGCACTGAATTTTGGAATTTGATCTATAATTGATCTGATATCTCTATTTAGGGAACGAGAATTATTAAAAGTGCTTTACCTTTTTTTCTTGTCATTTTCTGTGACTAATATTAGTAAGTAGCTATTTGAAGGCAGGCTTGCATTTGGGAAAGACTCTATCTAAGGATAAAAAGAAACACAATCCTCTTGGAAGTGGGAATGTAGCTGTTGATAGTGATGACCCATTAGATGTCCCAAGATACTTACCGGATTCAGTTCTAGGGTTGGGCCTTACCGTGTCCTTTAGCAAATTTTAAAGTTTATTATATGACATGAACCTTCAGGGCTGATTGAATATGGACAAAACAGTGGCTGCTATATTTATAAATTTCAAGAAATATGTGGTATAGCTGATTAATGCAATAGTAAAAATCCAGTTTAGGCATTAACACTTTTTTTTTTTTTTTTTTTAGATTTGAGGTGTGTGAGTACAATCTACAGGTCTTAAGTGTGGTTTAATAAACTTTAATAAATATGGATGGCAATATCCCATCAAAATTTGAACATTTCTACCTTTCTAAAAATTGAGGCTCATCCCTGTCTACATAATTTCCCTTCCTTTCAGAGGCAAAGCCTATTCTGATTTCTATTTCCAAAGAGGTG